AAAAAGATGACTTAGAAGCACTAGAAAAAGAATTGATAAAGGAAAAGAAGGGAATGCCTTGAGAATACCACATCTCATGAGGAAAAAGTCACTGAGCCTAAATGACCATACCTTTGCACTCAACCCCATTACAAGCCTTAGAAAGACTTTTTTGATCTTGAGTGAGCCGAACCGAAGATCGATTGGAAATAAGGGCAAGCCTATGGGTGAAAACATGCATTGTGTTCCTCTTTTTGAGTGTGAGCGTTGCATCTGATTCCTGATCTTGAATTGATTCCCCTCTGTGTGTAAATATGGAATCATTCTTTATGTGAGGGCATTTAGATACTTCTTGTTGAGCTTGAACTTGCACAAGTAACAAGTATTGCGAGCATGAGAATTTTTTGCAATGGTGTGTCACAACTTGAATCTTTGAGTACACAATTGATCTTTGCATGAGTAATCTGAGTCTTGTTGTGTATGTTCATGATTTAGTCTTGTGTAGCACTATTTGAGACATCCTATTTGAACTGCTAAACTTGAGTTTTACTTGAGGACAAGCAAAAGTTTAAGTTGGGGTTGTTGATGAGTCCACAAATTGGACTCATTTAGGGCTTTATTTTAATGGAAATAGTGTCCTCAAATGCTTATTTAGTCTAAATATTTGATGAAAAACACTTAAGATTCAGGTATTTAAAGTTTTAGTGGAAGCATGGACACTTAGGCGCAAAAAGAAATAAAAAGACTGAAAAGAACGAAGAAACTGAAGCCTGAGCATAGCCAAGCATGCTTGGCGAATCGCCGAAGGGACGCACTCCGCCCTTTGTTCCAGTATGCGAAACCCTGAAGGAGAAGGATAAAAAATTCTATGAAATGAGCAGTCAGTGCTTCATCGATCAGTTCCGCGAAGCAGAAGTATACCGCCCAATGATTCAGAACGCACAGATACTGAATGCAAAACACAAACGGCTGTGAACTAGAAGAAGGGCAAATCGCCGAGTCATTCGGCGTTCGCGACTAACCTCGCCGAGCGATCAGCAAGCATTATTTTATGAAGTCTATAAATACTAAACTCTTTACTAGTTTTTAGAAGAGAGAGGAGAGTCTGAACATTATTGTAATTTTTACTTTAGCTTTGATATTTTCTCTCAAGTTTGGAGAGGATTTTTGGAGGACTTGAAGAAGAAAGGAGTTCATGTTCCCCAAATTGGAAGTGGGTCTTCTCTATTCTTCTTTCTTTGCTTAAATCAAGGTTTAATTTCTTATACCCACTTGATTTCAACATTATTTTAGGTATAATTTCTTATTTCTTGATGTGTGGCTAAAATCCCCCATTCTTGGGGTGTGATTTAGCAAATATGTGTTGATATTATTGTTGGGTTTTGCTTGATGATAGGCTAGATGTATTTTAATGGTGATTTCACCTAGTGGTTGTGGTTTAATTTAATGGGTTTGTAGTTGCAAATACAAAACCACTCATGTGTTTACGGCTTGCTCGAGAGAGAGAGAGGTCGCGAAACCAAGACCGCTAGACTGATGGCCTAAGGAGTGGGTCGACATGAGGTTCAACCCGAGAGGGTGAGCCCTAGTCCCATATCCTAACACTCAGCTCGAGAGACTGAGTGGGGTAAGGCATAGGCTAGCCTTCATGCGGCAAATGGGTGTCCGAGAGGAACCCATTTGAAACGGGGTAAGTTGACCGAGAGGGAACTTATTTCCATCTAAAGCTTAGCCTAGTCACTATTATCTTGCAAATTTCCTACCGGAAACATGTACCCAACGACTTATACCAACATATATTGCGGTCACATCCCAAGAATCTCTCCCCACACTTGATTTCCTTTATATTTTACTGTTGTTTTTATTTAATCTTCTCAAAAAAAACCCCATTGATATTTGACACTTTTTGTGTCACCCATAGAATTTAGTTTGTTTTATTCACAAATTTCTCAAACTACAGCTAATCAAATTAAGATCCTAGTTTAACTACTATTTTCACTACCACTCCCTTGGGACTCGACCCCAACCCTTGGTTGGGTTATTATACTACTGCACGATCGTAGACACTTGCATCAAAAGTTGTGTCATTTGATTCCACAAACATCAGTCTTCCAAACCACGGGGTCTAACACGTACCTTGATGTTTAACCACTAAACCCCTTATTCTAAGCATGGGACGCCTTATCTATGATTATAACCCTCAACATCAAACTCTAGATCCCTAGCTCGAGGCTCTAGTTTGGTCTACTAGTTTCTGCGGTATTACGTCATCTTTTTCCTTCCGACTCCGTTTCAGTTTCAAGTAATAGTTGCTCTCCAGTCCCTCAGTTTACTTTTGCGTAAATTCAGCCTTAGTATCTTGTTCCTTCGGGGTTCTTGCATTTCAACATATGCATGTTCTTGGAACTCAGTTTAGTTAGATTTCAGTTTTCGGTACTTAGTGGTAGGGATTGCATCTCCTTCCCTCCATAATCAGCTAGTTTAGACTTCATTGGAGGACGAATGTTCCCAATGGGGAGATAATATAACACCCTAGATTCAAAAAGGACCAAATGACAAATTTTCCAGAAGTTGCAGGTGCCACCAATGGAGGCCATCCACGGCCCGTAAAAGGGACCACAGACCGTAAGTGTGGTCCGTGGTTGATTACCTCAGCATTTCCCAAGAAAATCCAGGACCACGCCTGACCAACGGACCATCGGTTAGACCACATTCTGTGGTTGATGGCCCATGGTTCAGGGCCCCAAAAATTTCCAGGAACTCACGACCCACAACAAAACCTACGAACCATAGGTTGGACCACAGTCAGTGGTCTAGGTCCGTGGTTTTGACCCCAGTTTCCAACTCTCTGACAACCAAACGACGGGACTAAGAGGATGGGCCGTCAGTCGATCTATGGTCCATCGGTCAGGCGATGGCCCCATCAGATTTTAAGTTAGGGTTGTTTTTGTCTTTTCCCCTATGCATTGGACTCCTAAACTACGTCATTTAATCCCTAAAGTACGTCGTTTTTGTCAGTTTTAGCCTAGTATTCTAGTCAGACTTTACTCTAAGCGATTCATTCACCAAAATTTATTAAAACTTAGAGCAAAAGAGGAAAAAGAGTTGACCAAACCCTTCCAAGAACGCAGCAGGTTTTCTTCAGTTCCAGCCCCAAAATCGAAAGATTTGTCCGTGAAATTCATCACCAGGTATGTGGGAGTGGGTTCCTTTCATCCATTAGGTCCCTAGAATTTAGTTAGGTTCTTGATTCACTATATCTTGCTTAGACCTAGGGTTTCTAAAACCTTAGATATTAGTTGTAATTTAGCTGTTACAGTATTCCTAATCAGATTATCATGCTTTTGTGGAATCGTTGCTTAGTTCTTTGCATGAAATTTAGAACCCTTGTTGTGTAGATCCTCTTAGTTCATGAAATACACTTGCTAGGTCAGTTAAACAGGTATACATGCCTCAGATTTTGAATGCGTCATCGTTAGTACATAAATTATACATTCTTAGTTAGCATGTCAGAATAATAAGCTAATCCAGTGATTCAGTTATGTCGTATTATATACATATTCCAGTTGGGAGTATGTTTAGCACCGAGAGGACTAAGGTTCAACATACCCTTAATGTCCCAGAACTACGTTCCCCCGTAGGATTATAAGTCCCCTTCATTGGGCATCAAATTTAGTGATCACGCCAGTCATGCCATTATACCCTTGGCAAGGTATATTGGGTCCTCCCGATGAGGCTTATACATCAGACTCCACGTTTAGCTCACTTGGTTTTATGTCATTTAATAGTGGCTCCCACAGTTAGACTTTACTGCATTTGACCAGGTTTTCAGTTATATTTCAGTATTCAGTCTCAACATGTTATGTATTTGGTCATTGCATTCAGCTTTAGTTCATTTCTATATATATATCAGTATTTTCATCATGTTCAGATTATATCAATTCTCAGTATGCTTTGTTCATTTATATGTTTTGTTCAGCTTTTATCCTATCCTGCATGCTCAATACCTTTCAAGTACTGACGCATACTCCGCGCTACATCTTTTCATGATGTAGGTTCAGTTCCTTAGCATTCGGATCATAGGTAGATCGGTTCGCGATCCATACTAAGCAGCATTAGTGGTGAGTCCTCATACTTCGAGGACAATAAACATGTTTTCAGATTTAGTCTTTCATTTTATTTTCAGTTTTTAGGGTTAGTTGGGGACGTGTCCTAGCACTTCTAGTCAGTTACAGGCTTTTCAGACATAGTATTAGATTCAGCTTTAGCTCTTGAGTGATTGTTCAGTATCACTAAAATCTTATTCAGTTTTATATATATTCAGACCAGCTTTGGGTATTCCTCACTGTCAGTAATAATTGCTTTAGCTTCCGCATTAGTTCATGATTTCATAGATATGTTCAGTTTTGCTAATGATATGCTAGCTTAAGGTTAGCTTGGGGTCACTCGTGATCCTAGGTCCCGTGTTTACGTCAAGGGGGTAGCCTCAGGGCTTGACATATTCACTCTGTTAAAAAAAGAATGACTTACTTTCTTTTTATTCTGATAAAAAAAGAATGACCTGTTTCACTCCATTAAAAAAAGATTGACTTTTTTTCTTTTTATTTTGATAAAAAATAAGAATGACCTGTTTTCTTTTTTGGCAACAATTTAATTTTAACTTTTCAAAAGGTATGTTTTAAGGCTACAATATTAAAGAACATTTTTGTATATGACATAACACTAATTTAAAACCACAAGATTGAAATATTTTGTTCTTAAATTTTGTGTCAAGTAAAATTAGACAAATTTTTTTAAAACCGAGGGAGTATTATCAAAATGTCCTATTCATTGTGATAATATAGCATTTATTAACTTGATAATTTAGCATTTAATAATTTGACTACGACCATGTTTGGATGAGGCTAACCTACTTTTTATTAAATACTTATTTGACCCAAATAACTTTTTTGAGCTTATAAATTAGCTCTTTTGAGCCTTCTCTTTCTGTCATTGCATTGTTTGTACACTTCAAGCAACACTCTAAGCTATTGTTCCTTCCAAGGGTGAGAAGAGACTCCCTTAAAATATGGATAGAAAAATTGAGATAAAAAAATTTGAAGACAACGAATAAATGTAAAGCCGCCTTTTCTAAGCGATGTAGTAGTTTATTAAGGAAGGCAGAAGAGATTGCAATTTGTTGTGATGTGCATGTCTTGTTTGTTGCGTTCTCACCCTCTAATCGACTCAACAAATTCTGTAGCCAAAAAAGGTATTGCAGTTACAATACCAACAAAACTTACTGTTACGTAATGCTATTTATTAATCTATAAAATGATAAGCTATTTATACTAAATTGTTACTTTTGTAGAATTGAAGACATGCTTGAACGCTATATTAAGCTTCCGGTTGAGAGGAGATTGACGTACATTAACTAATTAATTCTAAATTTTTTTAGTTGAATTTTTTATTTAGTTATTAAGCAGTAACTTATATACTGTAGCACTAACTTATGAGTTTTTTTGTTTTTTACTTTTGATGGGGTTAGTCACATGGGCGATGTTAAGGTACTTTACTCTTTCACATGTTCATTATAGATATGTATTTGCATGAATTTTCTATTTTTAAAATTAAGTCTTGTGTCTATTAATGTTAATTAATTTGTATAATCTTTAAATGAATGTGAAATTAATGGAGTATGAAATGAAAATTAGTACTTGCTCCATTTACATTTAGTTACTTTTCTTTTTCTAGTTTGTTGTTAAAAGAATGTATCATGTTAGATTTTGAGTCTAACTCATACTCTAAAAGCTAGATCAAAAAAGGATAATTGCTCAACCCTTGTATGAATTATTAACCCCAACCCCTCCACACCTAGATTTGGACATTCTTTATCCGAGATTTCATTTATCACCCCCCTCTTCATCTAGACATTCTTTGTGGGGATTTAATTTATCACCTCACCCTCACCTCCATGTCCAGATCCATATATTCTTTATTTGGGATTTCATTGTCAAGTCTAGAGCATGATTTCCAGACCACATCTATTAATAATTCTAAGGTCCACATCAGTTTTGGATCTGATCATGTCAAGTTAGTTCACGATGATTCTAACTCACACTTCAGAAAACATTTCAAAGAGAGGAAGATTGTATAAGTCTTATAAAGAGAAAAAGATTTCATTTAATCCATGATGTGGGATATTCAATTAATCCATCAAGATACTCATTTTTTTGACATCTCTTTAGATTCAACTTTTTGTGTAACATGTTTATGACGATAAAATTAAAGGATATTTTCACACCTTCCACCTCTCTTTAGTTTAAAATCATACGATTAAAAAATCATTCTTTTGATTTATTAAACTTTATGTCATTACAAAATCAAACAGACAAGTTAAAATGAAGTCAATAATAATTAAGAGATTCTAAAAATGACATCCTCAAAATTACCGAAATACTAAATGATTTTTACTTCATTAAATATAACAAGTTTTTTTTTTTTTTTTAAGTCAAAAAGGGCATTATTGAGAAAGAGTTGTAATAAAATTTAATTATTGAGATCAATTTTTCTCACCATTACTAATATTTTTGGGTATATAATGAAGGAAAAGGTGGCCAAATTGAGTCAATTGAACAACATCAAGGGAGATGTTAGCAAGCTACAGCTTCTTGATAAACAGTTTGGATCTCTTATATTTTTCTCACTCCTTAATTTTTGGATCAGTTTATTGTCTCTCTATGATTATATTTTGTTCAAAGTTATTTACAAATATTGTAAACAAAAAAATATATTTATAAGGAGATTAACAAATGATAATAATTGAATAAAGAGAGAATTAGGAGCTTTATTTCGAAAAGAAAACATTGAAATTTAGAAAATATATTGTGTATAAATGAATAAAATATTCACTCAAATAAAAATTTATTATTAAATGAAAATATATAAATGATTAAGTATAAAGAGTAAGATGCACATAATCTTACTCCTTTCTTTATGAGGTAGAAAGTTGTTTTCGATTGATTTTCGATAACGTAACCCTCCTCCATTATGCATGCTTCAGATAGACAATATAAGAGAGCTTAAACAACTAATATTATATAAGTTTTACACTATTTTGATTTATTTAAATGTACTTAGATACTACAACCAAGTACGTCATACTTGATTTCTTTTTTATTAAGTGAAATTTCTCTTACTAATGAATTAAACTTTTTCATGATGGCTTCTTTTGGATGTTTCAACCTGCTGCTAGTGTCTTAATTTCTATAGGATCGAGGTAAGCATAACTTAATTTGATATCTCATAAGTATTTTTTTAATTAAGTGAGACATTCAAATACAAATTAATAATAGTCTTAATAAATAAATGTTAACTAATGAGTGAAATTGATTAAATCATTTTAACTTAAAATTCTTTGATGTAGAATTTGGAGCTGCAAATCAAGAAGTGCACATTGGAATTGCAGATTGTAGATGCTAACATAAGGTCATTTGATTTAGTATCACAAGTGTTTTCTTTTGTTGTTATTCTTAATTATAACATTATGGTTTAATACAATGACATCACCTTAAACATTTATAGAGACATTTAACTTATCTTCTATTTCAATCGTCTAAATTGCTAACTTGTTCTATAGGGACTATGTTCCAGGACCAGAGCAAGTGTCTTCTCTTCATCAACTCTCTTGGTGTGAGAGCAACTTGCAAAAATCTATCCAAAAAGTTATGGCTAGAAAGGTTTGTTGTTTCACCAAATTTCTTTTCTTTATTTATCGTTGAAGAATTATGTGAAATCACAAATTTCAAAAAAACAATTATTTTTCTTAGAAATAATGCATCAAATCAACTATTAATGTTAATCAATAAGATTTTATTTATGTCTAAATAATTTTGATTAGATGGAATTGGAGAAACAAGAAAAGATGGGTGTTCAATTTGCTGCACAACAAACAACTCCTCAACTGTTTGAGACAAATAATTGGGTTAATCCCTATAGGTCATTATATTTTTCACATAATATTTCTTTACAAAAAATTCTTCTCAATTTTCCTTTTTAGTTTCATTATTTCATTATTATTTTAGTACAAGTATCCCAAGGAGCATATATCAAGATTGGATGAACAAAGAGAAAAGAGTAGCAAATACTTTTTGCAATTACACATACACCCCTTCTTTTGGAAGTTCTTCACAGAGTGAGAACATGCCATTTTTTCAAATTCAAAATTCATCTCCTCGTATCCCGTTCCCATAACACTTTTTTAAGAATTTAGTAACAAGAATCTCTAAAAGAGATATTTTTAAAAAATTGATGTTATTATTTTCTATCCGCACAATAGAGCCAACAACAAAATATGGTGGCAGATGTCCAGCAAAATTCAACACAAACATTTGGACAATCACCGGTACATTAATATTCTTCAAATATTATTCCTTATTAAGATCTCCTTAAATAGGCGAAATATATTTTTAATTTTTTTTATATAATTATTTTATCCGAAAATAGAGTCAACAACAAAACATGGTGGTAGATTTTTAGTATAGTCCAACACAAACATTTGGACAATCACAGGTACATTAATATTCTTGAAATATAATTCTTTGTCAAAACATAC